TGGTGGAACAAGAAAGGAAACCTAAAGTTCTGTCTTTCTCAGCCTCTTATGCTATACCCTGAAGAGGGAGAAGAGGCTAATGTTAGTCCACTCACCATCAGCTGCAGTCCTTTCCTGTGAGGAAACAAGCCTTTTCCTGAGCCTCACCAGTATTTGTTGCTTGTCTATTACTGTTAATGAGTCTCTCAGGTTCTAGCTGGGATATTCACTTCCCCAGTTGGTGCCTCTTTGCTCTCTTCAGGTCCAGAAAGAAGAGATGATTTTGGTCCTCCAGAGAAGTCCACTCTGTTGTTACTCTGAATCAGTTGTTACTCCCATTCTCAAGGACAAAACTGGTGGATAGGGCCACCGGAACTTTCAAGGTGGGGAGGCTCAACATGGGCAGACAGGTTATTAATTTTCACTATTTGTAAGTATATTTTTTGTAAAAGTCAAAACACAGAATGCATTGCATTACAATTACCACCACCAGCTGAAGCAAGAAACAATTCCACTACCATGAAAGCAACAGCAAAATAATAAAAGAATGTTACAAAACTAGGTAAATAAAATCAAGCAGAGAAAAACTATGTAAGAATCTATTAAGTGAATGCAAAGGTGCCTATAAGGTCTGCATCTCTCTCTCCACTTTGCTACTTTAAAAGCAAAAATTGCGGAGATAAGACGGCACATGTAATATTCTTAAAGTAAATGCAAAAATATATACATCTACCAGAGATGTATATTTCTGAGATGCAGAAAATCATGTGCAGAACAGAATTAGAGAGAAAATTACTTCTTTCGTGTATTATCATTTAATCATTTTGTACAATGTGTACTTAGAAGTCACCCTGATGTGTTTGGTTGTAGCTCACTCCCAAGCAAGAATGCATAGGCTTGAATACATGCATCCTGTTATTCATGGGAGGGCTCAACTCCAATAGCTATCTCAAATTGTGTGTGTTCTTTATCATTTAATATACTTGTGACTGGTAATTGACTGATTGATAATCCTGAGGTTTATAATTTGGAGAGGTATTCAGCATGGTCTGTCAGAGAGCTCTATTGTCTTACCAAACTACAGATCCCAGGATTCCACAGGATAGAGTCATGGCAGTTAAAGTAGTGTCAAACTATTTATTTCTGCAATCTGGATACACCTGAGTTATGAAGACAGTCTTGAAATGGTCCAGCTGGAAGTTTTAATCATTGCTTGATTTGCTTTGCTTGCAAGCATAGTTAATCGTTCAGCATGTTGTGTGTCTTCAAGTCATTTCTAAGTTATGACAACCCTAAGGTGACCCTATCACAGGGTTTTCTTGGCAAAATTTGTTCATAGGGTTTTGCCTTTGTCTGAGGGTGAGAGAGCATGACTTGCCGAAGGTCACCCAATTTGCTTTCTATGGCTGAGCTTATTTCACCTAAAATAATTTTCTCAGAAACTACTTATCTAAGACTAAAATTTACCTTTACCTTTACCTTTTCCTAGTAAAACAACAACAACATACACAACAAAAATTGTTTTGGAAAAACTATTTGAAGCCTTGTTGGTAACTCCATGTATAAGTGCTATACCACACTAACCAGGCATAGCTAGAGAGTCAGTTGGAATCAAGGACTCTTTAGTTAAAGCCAGAGGAAATAAGACATCCACTTGATGGCAGCAGTGAGAAACAAGAAGGAAAACCCTCCATTGACGGTGTCCATCCTATCAGACCTACCAACACACTTAGAAATTTCCTCTCAGCAGCTCCATTCCCTACATACATTAATCAGGCTTTTAAAGGAGGACAATAATATATGCTCAGGGATATATTGGATTTTTGACATTCATCTAAGTTTTCAATTAAATCTCTGCTTTTTAAACAGATATCTTGGATTTCAGGATCTTTTGCAAGTTCTTGTTCACTCTAAAAAGTGGAGATAAACATTTGATAGATTGACAGTAAAAACTATCTGTTGAAGATCCCCTGGCCTGGAATATGCCTAGTAAGGAAGTAGCAGAAAAAGTCATTCTGAGTAATATTTACACAGATCATTTGAACACCTAAAAGTACTATGCAAATGTTAATATAATAATTAGACGGTATGGAATAAGAGCTGCTAGTAACATTTTGTCCAAATCCACAGCAGTGAACCATTGAATAACTCTTTTGTATGCCTTAGTACAGCTCCAAGCAATGTAGCTTATTTTCAACACTGGTTTTGTACATCACACTAGAAAGATGATGTTGCTTGACCTGGAACCTTTATTCAAAAGTTCTTGTACACTGTCTCCAGCTTTGTGCATCTTCTCTTCATAAGCATAAACTTGACCATCCTCTGTAACAAGCATCATTGTCTATGCAGACTTTAGCTGATAAGGACTTTTGCCACAACTCCAGCATGTGCTGGTTCCTTACAAAGAAATTGTACCCAGGATACAAAACAAGACCCAAGGACTGGACTACTCAGTTAAGGTGATTTTTTTTGGCTTTTCTTTATTTCAGTATAATCTGGAATCACATTCAAGATGCCCACTCTAAGATTTTGCCCCTCTTCTATTGTTCCTGGACTATAATGCTAATCATTACTACTGGCCATGCTGTGGACCTGATGAGAATATCAGAGGGTCACATAATCCTCAACCCTTCCATAAGATTATTAAACAGTATGGAAGCCATTTATCTCTATCGAGTCTTAGGTCTCTTTGATTCATTCATAGTCCCACACAGGAGAGTTCACACTCTTGAATTGGATTGGGAAGAATGTGAACTGAGGAAGAACATTTTGGTCATGAAATACCAACAAAAGTGGACTGAACAGTGGTGCAGTAAATACCGTAAATAAGACTAGGACTTGGAAGGGCAGCTATGAAGGAACTAGACAAGATTCTGAAGTGTAAAGATAAATCTTTGAATATAAAGTTAGGATTGTCCATGTCAACAAGTTTGAAATGTGGTGGTGTTCTACGGATACCATGGACTGCTAAAAAGACCAATATGGGTCCTAGAACAAATCAAGCCTAAATTCTCCCAAGAAGCCAAGATAATTAAACTGAGATTCTCATACTTTGGACATATCATGAAAAGACATGACTCACTAGAAAAGAAAATAATGCTTGTTAAGGTAAAAGACAGCAGGTAAAGAGGAAGACTGCATTTCAGATGAACAGTGTCAATCAATGAAGACAATGAGTCTGCAAGACCTGAGTAGGTCTGTTGATGTTGGGGTGACCTGGACGTCTCTCATTTATAAGGTTACCATATATCAACATGGTGCCAATTAACAACAAATAAATGCCAGCTTAAAAGAGATATAAACTGATGTGTGTAATGGATGGGTAGCTAATTGTCAAGTTCTACATGGGGCAGCTCCCAGGAGCCCTGGTTGGCAGAGCAGTGATGATGAATGCTGGAAACTGCAGCTCAACAACATATGAAGGCCTTCCTAATTCTTCTCTTTACACTACAAGGATCCATCAAACAAATATTCTCAATGAACCAATGTATTTATAAAAATTCCAAGAAAGAGCAGCAGCTAAAAGGTTTTCCCTTGACATGAATATCTAGTGATTGTAGGGAGTGGTGCTCATCGTTACTAAGCCGAAGAGCCAGTGTTGTCCGAAGACAACTTTGAGATCATGTGGCCAGCATGACTGAACGGAATGATGTTACCTTCCCACCAAAATGGTACCTATTTATCTACTTGCACTTTTACATGCTTTCAGACTGCTAGGTTGACAGAAGCTGGGACTAGTGACAGGAGCTCACCCCACCATGCGGCACCTTGGCCTCGAACGGCCAACCTTCTGACCTTGTGATCGCCAGAATGGGTGTCTTAACCACTAAGCCACCACATCCAGAGCAGCAGGACAACCCAATTAATTATCAAGAAATTAATTAATTTAAAAATTAAATTAAATTAAAATAATTAATCAAACCCCATTAATTCTCAAGAAAGAGCATCAAGACAACTCATTAATTCTGATTTTACATGCTACGTTGCTGTGTGCCTTCAAGACCCTTCTGATTTATGGGGACCCTAAGGCAAACCTATCACAGGGTTTCCTTTGCAAGATTTGTTCACAGGGGTTTTATCATTGCCTTCCTCTGAGGCTGAGAAAGTGTGGCTTACCCAAGGTCACCAAGTGGGTTTCCATGGTTGAGTGGGGATTCAAATGCTGGTCTCCCAGCATTGAAATCACTACACCACACTCGCACTTTTTATGCTATGCCACCCTTAAGCCTCCTTCTATTGCCTGGCTCTTTTTTGTTTTTTGTTGTTAACTGTCATGAAGTCAGCATTGACTTATGAATGAGAGACCTCCAAGTCACCCTGTCAGGTCTTCAGGGCTGTGGTTTCCTTGACTGAGTCTATCCATCCAGAACATGGTCTTCCTCTTCTCCTACTGTCTTCCACTTTAGCAAGCATTATAGTATTTTCTAATTAGGTGTGTCATCTCATGATATGGCCAAAGTAGGGTAGTCTCCATTATTCTGTTCATCTTTTATGTTCCTGTTCCTCCAGTTCTTCCTACCACATATCAATTAAAAAGTATCACAGATCCAATGGCCTTCATTATTCAAATCTCTTGGAGTGCAGTGTACATTCAACTACAACCACACTGTAATAAATGGATACTGTTAAACACTTGCAGTCAGTTTTCAGTGAATAATAGAAGCCCTGTCTTCAGTGAAACACACATTTCTCTGAAAGCTAAGAATAATAATGTATTGTTCCATAGTGCCAGGCCACATTTCACTAGATGACTTCACAAGGCTGTTATCAGTCTAAACAGGCGGGAAGGGAGGGAGGGAGAGGCAATTCTTTCTCTTGCTACATTAAATAATAAACAACTCTTAACAATTACACAATGCTAAATATGTCTTTGTTGTTGTGTGCCTTCATTTCCAATTTATGGCAACCCTAAGGTGAACCTATATTGTTTTTCTTGGAAGGATTTTCAGAGGGGGTTTGCCATTGCCATCCTCTGAGGCTAAGAGACTATAATTTGCCCAGGATCATCCAGTAGGTTTACATGGCTGAACTGGGATTCGAACTCAGGTCTCTAGAGTTGTAGTCCAGTGCTCAAACCACTACACTATGCAGGCTCTCTAAACATGTCTACTGAGACATTATTTTCACTGCGTTCAACTGAGCTTACTTCTAAGTAAGTATATACAAGATTACAGATAACAAGATAACTTGTTGCTTCTTCCTCAGAAGCATTTCAACTCTGAACCAAATTCCTCTTGGTGGTCAAGAGGGCTGCAGGGTTGGGAATCATGTGGCCCTCCAGATGTTATTGAGCTACAAGTCCCAGGAGCTACAAGCCAGCAGATCCAATGGTGAGGCTTGCTGGGAGTTACAGGTCAGCAACATCTAGAGAGTTGACTGGTTCCCATCTTTGCTACTAAGAACATCTTATCCAAAGACACACATTCTGAAGCTGACATTGTGGTTGTTGTCTTTCCTCTTGTAGACTATTACTCTGTTACTCTTTGAGTCCAAAATCAATAATTTCCTTATGTTAACAGTTAAACAAATTAAGTACTTTTTCACATGCACATAATTAAAGCTGCAGAATTAATTTACCACAAAGTGTAAGTGTTATTGCTAGCTCAGATGGCTTTGGAAATTGATTAGAAGACATAATAGCCAGTTGGAGGCAGTACATGTCTGACTACCAGATCCAGCAGCTAACCAGCTGTGGATAGCTTTCATTACCATGTTCTATTTATGAACTTGCCAAAGCCATCAGAGCTTCCTAGAGACCTTTAAAACCAAGTAGGAAGTATATATATCTAAAACAAATAAAAATCTAGCTGTCCATTATGTGAGATAGAATCCTGGACTAGAAAGACCTTTTTACACCAGGAAAAGTAAACCTTATGCCAAAATCCAAGCAGATTCAGTCAATACTGAGTCTGGATTATGGGGAAAGAGATACACTGACTACTCTACCATTCAATAAGCTCATTTTGCATGCAGGACTGTGGTCTGAGTAAATGGCACAGCACTCTGAATTTTACCATGGAGTCATCTTGACTAACATCATGGAGCATAATAAATTTGATTCACAAATAGTGTGATATTGTGGTTTGAGCACTGGACTATGACTCTGGAGGACCAGGGTTTGATTCCACACTCAGCCTTGGAAATCCACTGGGTGACCTTAGGTGAGTCACACACTCTCAGCCCCAGAAAATCCAATGATAGGTTCACCTTAGAGTTGCCATAAGGCATAAACAACTTGAAGGCACATAACTACAGTGATGCTCAGATAAGGTACTCATAGAGATAGTAATGCAGAAGTGTTCTATGTTTTGACATTGGGTAACATCAGGGCTTAACTGAGGCTTGCCAAGGTTCAAATCCAAACATGTAAAATGATAAGGAGAATTATCTCTGACCACACATGGGGAACAAAGCCATCACCACAGAGTTACATGAGCCCATGCAAACCTTAGTACACAAACAATGATAGGAAGGAGCAACATCCAGTAATCTGAAGCCACACATCTTGTATTTTTAAAACAAAACACTGGGTTTCATATGCTTCATGGAAATTAGTGTGGTGGCTAGTGAGAGGGAAGATACATATTTGAAATTCTGTAATCTATAATCCCAGCCCCACAGAAAAAAGTAGCTGGCATATATTCAACATGTAAGAAAACATGAGGTAGGAAGGTGCTAAGTCAGTGGTGGTGAACCTATGGCACAGAGTTTGCCAGTGTTTGTTACTAGAAAGCCAGAGGGACACAGCACTTTGCGATAAATAAGTGGGCTTTGGGTTGCAGTTTGGGCACTCGGTCTCTAAAAGGGTTGCCATTATTGGGCTAAGCCATTCTCTATATGTGAAATGGTGCTCAGTGTTGATGTACAGTCCTTTTCACAGCTATGAGGTAAAATGCAGATACATCTATGTAACTGACTCGACTGTGTTCTTCACAAAAACTTCACAAACCAAATCAACATGTACCACTGCTTAGTCATGACATATCACATTACCAACAAAGGAGGAAATGAAATGGGAAAATTATATAGTAGGAAGTTTCAAGAAGAGTGTTTTAATTGCATCAAATCATGATGTCTTTGATGGGTGCTTGAGCAAACCTCTTCCAATTTTCACATTGTATTCCCATGACTCCATAAGTCCACTATGGGAAGCCCACAGGCCATTTTGCCTCTCAAAAGTTCCATTGTTTGGTTGTTCTCTTTTTAAAGAACCCACTCACCATATATTTCAAGGGTCTTTTACTCCAGCTCAAGAAAAATATTCACTTGTTTGTCCATGGAAGCTGAAATTGTTCTCAACTGTTAGAAGCAAATGTTCTTGCACTGAAAGTTGATGACAGTCCTATGCAATCTTCTAAATCAGCCTACTATGGAGGCTGATGTTTTCAGTAGCATGGGGCTGTCCCTCAGAGCAGTCTTGGCAAGTCCCACATATATTCTTCATCTCCGAAGAATCTTCTTGGGCAGAGAATAAGGATTCACCCTCCAAATAAACTGTTAGATTGAAAGGGAAATGTGAGTTGCCATTTTTATCACAGAACTATTACAGAAGTATTTTTCTTTGCTTTCTAGATAATGGTTCACATTCATTATTGTGTGCCAAGAAACTAGTTTTTCCAAATCTCTCTATTGTTTCTTTTATATTCCTCATTGCATGATGGAAGTGAATGAAACACCCACCACCTTTATTCTAGCTTGTAAATTTTAGTCTCAGTGTGTTAGAAAGAATTAGTGAATTCTGTGTTCTGTTATCCTGCTCAGGGAATACAAGAACTAAAATTTTCTAATGTCTAGGGTATACAAGACAGTGGCATCATCCTGTTATTGTGAGGTTTGGGCTTTTGGGCCAAATTTCTTTTAAGCAGGGTGACAGTGCTTTAAGATGACGCATGGGTAGAACAGAGATGGTGAACTCTTTTCCTTCCTGTTCTTCCCCAAATTACTGTCTTCAAAGACACTTCTCTTCTGGCACTGCTTCCAGTCTCATAACCTTGTCAAGAGAAAATAATACAGACAGGATATTTTGGCAGGAAAGGAGAGGCATATCCAGAGTTCAGCAATCCACCTGCTTGCCTACAATGAAGTTTAAGTAATTCCTTCACCTTACTTCATTGGAATTTGCCAGCAGTCAGATTCTAACCTGCAAATCTGCCAGCATCATGTTCAGTTTACTGTCTTCTCAGTTATACAACTTGCATCAAGAATATCTTTTAGCAAACAACTTTCATAATGGAAGTGGGATTCTGTTTGCTTCTTGTCTTAGAATTCTCAGAGTAAAGTGAGGTAGACCCCCTGTTACTCACTGAACTGCCTTGGCGTGCCTTTAGCTGCTGTTAGTATTTTGTTCATTGTAAAGAAGGAGCAGGAGCAGAAAGAATTGGTGTCTTAAATGTTCATCACTGTGTTATCACTAAAATGCTCCTCCTTGCTGTGGAAGCAGTTAGACTCTCAGCATTTAACAACACAGGTACAAAGACACAGGATGCATGGAATCAGTGCTAAAGCTTTAGTTCAAGACTGGGGAACTGGAAGCCTTACTGGTGTTGTTAAACTCTAGTTCTCATCAGACCCACTCAACATGGTCAACAGTGAAGACTGCTGGTGAGGCAGAAATCCTGGCAGTGCAGTGGTTAAATGTAGCCACTCACAGCCACAAGGTTGTGAGTTTGATCCCAGTTCAATCCCAGGCAGGGCTCCAGGGTCCACTCAGCCCTCTATCCTTTCTTAGGTCAGTAAAACAAGTGCCCATCTTGTTGGGGGCAACTGGCTTACACATTGTAAACCACTTAGGGAGTGTTAATTCATGGATAAGCAGTATAGAAATGTACTTGCTACTGCTATGGTAATAGTAGTTTATCAACAGCTAAGAGGCTTAAACATCCTAGGCCTCCTTTTGCCCATACAATGAGGCATATGACAGAATGCCATGTATTCTCCACAGCCTCTCCTCTGAAGGCCTTACCTTATCTGCTGCTGCAGGGCTCTCTCATTTCCCATATATCTTATGAAGTTTCTGAATGAGAAACATCTTGTCTTCTCCTTCCTGGAACAGAGATATTTAAGATGAGTAGTAGAAAAGTGACATTATTAAAAGGCCACATGCTAGTGACATTAGGAATGGACCAAAATGCTGAAATTCATATGATTTGCAATCACTTTTTTTTCTCTGTTGAAAAAGTCAGGGCAAGAGGTGTTTATTTTTTACTACTACTGAAATGCCTCATCACTACAGCTGGCAGAATTTGTGCCAAAAGAGTTTGAGCATTGCACAGATCCAGCATAGAAAGTGCCTTGTACCTGTAGTGGAAGGTGGACCACCAAGTGCATCCCTGCTGCAGTATTGTTCCTATGTGCAGTTGATGGTCTGCAGCCATTTACTTTTGTTCCAATAAAACCCAAGGTTTGAGAGCTTGATGTTCTATAGTTCTCATTAACAGACTGGCCCTGCCTTGCATTCAGCACTCACGTTGGCAATCTGCTCCTTCAGGAGGGTGATGATTCTACGTTGACCCTTCACCACTTGAATGTTGAGGTAGATCACAGCTCTGCAGATTATAAGGGTGTGGAATATAAAGATTATGTTGAAGAGTTGAGCAACACATGCTCCAAAAAACAATGTGCTTATCAAAGATGTTGAATGGATCACCAACAGAAATAATATTTCAGTCTGAATTCTCACACAAAGAACACAGGAAGGTAGTGTTTCTCAGATACTGGGCACACCTAAAATACTCATTTGGATTAGTATTTCAGACTCTCAGCCACTGTGAGTTACATGAAGCCTATTCACATAAGCTTGTATACTGGACATAAAGCTACACTACGATTATAACGAGAATAACTAAATATTGACTTTTAGAACAGCCTAGGTGGTGCTGAGCAGATTTCACGTTTGCAGGATTTACTTAGGTTTTCAAGAACTCCAACCCAAACCAAGTACAAAATAGTGGATGAGGAAGATGGATAAGGAATTGTACAATATCCTGAGCACATATTTGGTTGGTTTACAGCACTAAGAATATGAGTTCACTCAGAAATCATCCCTTGATTCCCCTCAAACCTTGAGCATGCCAATATAAGTGGAGTGGGGCAA